TAAGGGACCCCCGGAACGTCAGGTTCCAGATTCCCTTTAAACCAACATGTTGGGAAATAAAACATGTGCAAATTTCAGCAATTGGAAGCGGAAAAGCATCGCGATTCGAAGGCTAAAGCCCCCCAGTTTAGTAGGCTGTCCCTGGTCGTAGGGGGGATTTATCACTTTTGGAGGGGAACACCCCGGCCCCCCCGCCCCCCTCCCCCCCCCCTGTTAGTAAACAAGGGTTGATTCATCCGGGGTCCCCAGTAGTTGCCTTAAGTGTCTAAGAAACCCATGATCTCGACCAGGAAGGATGTTGTACCACTCAGCTGTCTCTCCAAATGTTCGAAGCCACCCCTAAGCCCGCTGGAAGGTGCTTGCGGTTGAAACACTATGCGTAAATAGGAACCATAGCCCAAGGCCACGCCCTTTGCAGGAATGGCTGTGGGTCAAAAATAGGGTAACCCCAAATGGAAGCCTGGAAATGGAAACATGGACTAAAACCTGCGGTCACCCCTGGTGGTTTAATTCTGAGAACATTCTGGGAAGCAAAACGCGTTGAACCGGTCAAATGACTTTGAGAGATTCCATACGTCAGGTGTCTTACTCCGAGGTCAACATTACTCACCAGTTCGTTGATCCCTTGCCAAGCAGCTACAAATCTACATGCCTTCTTCTCCTGTGACTAGATTTGGCTTCAAAACACCGCTACAAAACTCATTGTTGTCCTTACACTGGGTGCCCATCCCTTTGAGTAAACTGAACATTATTGGCTATTTAGCACCCAGCATACTGTGTCTTCTCTTTACGACATGGCGCACTTGGTGGCAGCTTTGATAGCATCCTGCTCGTACACGGAGTCGCCGATGGAGAGCACGTTTGGCCTATCTCAGCCGAAGGTGGGCTCTAGAAACAGCCAATCCCGTTCAAACAGATATGCATTTTTCTGTGTCAGACCTATATACATATATAGTATGTCAAAACAGAACGGAAACCAGACAAGAAACAAACTGAAAAGGACGTTCGTATTGCCCTAGGGCCCCAAACCTTACTCGGGTCAAAGGCCCTTGGACTCCTCCCAGGGTCAACTTCCCTCAAGGACTAAAGGTTCAAATCCCCAAGCCACCAATCCGAACCACCAAGTAAGGATTACTTGAAACAACCAGCCAAAATGTGCGCGAAGAAAACACAACACCCCCTCCGTCCAGACGCCTTGGACATGTCGATCGGCCATTTTGCAGCGCCCAACTGCGAAAGGAAGTTTGAAGAACTGGGTGAACGTTCACCCACACCACAACCCACAGAAACACACCCACACCCACACCCACCCACCCACACCCACCCACCCACACCCACACTCCACACACCCACCCACCCACCCCTGCAAGCTCAGCCCTGCCGCCCCGACCGCCCGGCCTGCTGCCGCCTTCCGCGAAGGCCGCCTCCATGATCTCCGCAAAGGCGCGGCGCTTCCACTCCGCCGGGCCGTCGATTCCCACGCCCTCCTCGAATCGGCTGGAGATGGAGGTCCGGGTCCGTCCGGACGGCGTCGCCTTTTTGGGGTGTACCAGTTTTCCCTTGAAGGGAAAGCCCATTTGGGGGTGGCAAGTCGTTGCGGCTCGGTACTCCTTGCGCCTTGCTTTGGAAAGGGAACCTTGAAAGGAAAGACACGCGAACCCGAATCGCGAATCGGGGGGTGAGTCCAAGGGAGGGTCCAGGAAATCAATCAATCAAGGGGCGAAGGATTTGGGTCCAATTCCTCCAAAAGTTGTGATTGCTTCTAATTCTACACACACAGCCCTAGGCAAATTACAATAATTCGTAGGTCGTGAGATATTTTCGTTATTTCACGGAAGCAAAATGGTGACGTCGATTTAAAATATGGAAATAAGTGCCGTCGCCCCGCGCAACGGAAACGCGGAAACCCCGATTGATCCCAAACGAGCCTAGTTTGTCAAACCATTCTTCGTGCGAAGAACCAGGGTTTACAAACCCAGTCTTGAAAAATGTTGGTGAAGAAGCAGCCTATTTCGCTGAAATGGGCTTGGATCAGGCCCACTGCCCCAGAAACCAAACGCAAATGGATTTAAAAAAACTGGTTGGAGGTTGGAAGTTGTCATCTCAACACTCAAAAAATAGGAACCTGAAAAGCAGCCTATCTCATTAAAATAGGATTGATTCAACACACACGCCCGTCACCGACGACCGGATGGAGGCGGCAGCGAAGCCTTTGCAGGTTGCAACATGCTGCGCTGGTGCTCTCTGTGATCTTTTTGTATTTTCTTTCGTCGAAAAGAGCCATACGCTGTAGCCCACACGAGGGGTGAGGGTCTGCTCAAGCAAATTTCTATCGCTGCGGAAGCTCATGGGGACAAGGCAAGGCTGCTGCCTGGCTTACGAGGCAGGAACCGCGTTCCCAAGAAATTTGTTCGTTTCCTGTCTGATTGGTGGGAGACGGCGTAAGGATCTATTTTTGCAAAATAGGGGGTTTCTATCGCGGGCAAATTTTGTTGGAATCGGTTTGTGCTTGGTTTGGAGATTGCCAAAAGCCCCTACGTGGGGAGGGGGGGGGCGCAGCGCGTACCGAGCAATGGGCGCCATGAGTCGGCAAAAAGTTAAAGTCCTAACAGCCAAGCAAAATGCACCAAAGAAAAGGTTTCTTTCTTCTGGGTTGACGTGCAGCAGGGATCAAGCTTTCAAGCAAATCAACATATGAAAGCACCAAAGGAACCATGCACCGCAAGGAACCTGTTTTTGCGAAATAGGGCATTCTCTAATTTGCAGCTGAACCCAACAATCGGCCAAATTGCCCAAAAGAGGCCCTCAAATGTCATCACATCCTGGTGTAGTGGCATTACGCTCGCCCCGGAACGTCTGTGACCACCATGTGGGGGTTCAACTCGTCCCTTCTGCCGACTCTTGGCGCTCGCTTCTTTTAGATGGTGTCCAAAATACAAAACCCAGTTTGTGAAAATAGGGCTGCTTTCTGAAAAATCGTTTTCACTGAGATTGCTGTGGTTATTTACCAGTTGATGATCAACTGTTTTTTGCAAGGCTGGGAAAAGAACAATGAACCACTGCAATGCCCGCTTGTATATTTTCAAGCACCAGGTCGTTATTTCGAAGTGACGTCGCTGAGGTCGCTTTAAATCACCTAGAGCCTATGAATCTGAGCTCCCTCTAACCCATTGAGCACTTGGCGATTCCTTCTCCTCCAAGAACTGGACGGTTTACTATTCCTTAAAGGATAGGAGGCCGAGGTGTGAAAGTCGCTGGGGGGACCGCGCTACGCAAAAAGCCAAGTCGATCTTGCTGCGGGGCGTGGGGGCGCCAAGCTTGGGTGGTGGCTTGCGCTGAAACTCTGGACTTGTTTATGGAGGGTGTCTACAAAAGCCATCCAGGGTCTTTTACTTTGGAAATACCCACGTTGCAAAGGGGTATCTTGCCTGAGGCTGCCAGCTTATGAGGACGCGTTCCCTTGAGCACCAGGAGACATGCTTCCGCCCGGCTTCCGGGAATGGGAGGGACTATAGGGACCGCCAAAAGCGCCGTATAAATTCATGACCCATACGGGGACGTGTCAAAAAACCAAGCAGACCCCGAAAAGTGTCTCGTCTCCCCCGCAAACCCTCCAACACACCCCATACTCAAAAAAACACCCATCTGCGCCGCAACCCCTCCCTTCAAGCCTACCTATAAGCGGTGCTGATCTGGGCCGCGAGTGGAGAAAAACGCGTCAGGCCGTGGCGCGAATGCGCGGGCAGAGACTATGTCGAGCTCATCTAGCAGTGGCCGAAGGCCTCACACTGGAAGCGTGTCAAGCTGATCAGCTCGGATGTGCCATCCGAAATACAAGCTAGGGGCTATCAGACTATCAGAATATGGGTGTGGGTCAAAAACAGGTACCCAAAACGGAACCCAGGTAAATGAAAACAAGCCTGGTGGTATAATTTTGACCCATACCCGTATGGAGATTAGGGTTTGGTGGGTGATGTTCGAAATGAGGGCTTTGACTTGGATGGCTATGGGAGTTAGAAAGCCCGGGATAAGCCCGGGACAAGTGGAGAGCCTAGGATGCCTTTGATAAAGGCCTCGGAAAAGTGTTGCTTTGGCCATGCCCTTTCGTGTTCGGTCAAGTTAGATGGTGGTTAGTAATCTTGGTGACCCGCTTGCAAGTCCATCCCCCCCCCCCACACTGTAACCCAAATGGCCAACCACTTTGGCCGAACATCCAAGCAGGATTAATTGTCTTAGAGGGCTCCAACATGTTTGGCACCCCTATCAAATTAATCCACCAGGTTGCTTGATCTAGTGTCAACATTAGACTTCTTATTGTTAGGATTAAGAGTTCAATAGGAATAGGTGATAGGCCCCCCCTCCCCATACATACTGATTAATCATGTTGGCTCTGTCACAGCAAACAGATTTGTCAGCCTTGGTTCGCTAGCATATATTCGGTGGCCATCTGCCGGCTAGCAACAGAAACACTGTGCCGCGCTTAGCGCAAATGCCTTGCGCACACACAAAAACAATTGCCCTGTCGGTTGACTGACAAAATCCTGCACCACCTCTCCCAACCGCATTTTGCCACTGAACACGAGCACCCCGCTCCCCTTTTTCAATGTTGTTGGCATTCACTTCAACGTGGCGCAGGTTTCGGCCATTCCAACACGTTTGCAACCCGGGCTGCCCCTTGAATTCCTTCAAGTGAGTTCCTCCCGATAGTAACAAAAAGTCAACCCGGACGCTTTGGCCGACTGAACCTAATGTTGACCCTGGATTCAAACACCTGAATCCTATTGGGGGGCTGCTGAGCCCAGACGAAACCTATTGGCTCTATTGACAGGCCCTATTGGGTCAGCTGCCCAAAGGACCCAAAAAAAACGCTGCACCTTTTGGCCGTGACAAAAGAGGACCGCTTTCTTTCTCTTTCTGGGAAACTCAAAGGGTGCAAAGGTCGATTCGCTTTGGTTGCAAGTAGAGTTGATCAACCAAATGTCATCCGCTCGGCCAAGGTGCCAGGCAAGAAGGCGGCACAGCTGGTCTCCACCCATCCCTCCATTGCATTCGTCACGATCACGACCCTGCCATAGCCCATCGCCTCCGCCATCGGAAGATTGAGGAGAAAACCGGTGAAACTGAGTCACTTGAAAGTACTTGCATGTTGAGGGGCTCTTCAAAACAATGTTTTTTTTTTTTTTGGGGGGGGGGGGGGCATTTTGAAGGGAACCGCCAATTTCAGAGGAACTCATAGCACTCTTATGGGCCAGTGAAACAGCCCAACAGATGAGAAAACGGTGAGCCGGGTCGGTATCTTTCCCCATAGTTCCCACATACTTCCACATAGCTCCCCATATTTCCACGTAGGTATCCACATAGCAATCCATACTTCCACATGTCTTCGCAGTTTCGCACATACTTCCCACATGTCTCCACATGTCGGTAAGCCTCCCAGAGCACCAGACAACCTTCAGCAGACTCCTTGGTAAACTCGAAACTAACTCGGTGATCTTTTGCCAGGGTGTTTTCTGCGGGTAGCCTATTTTCCCAACAATGCGCGTGGACAGGGTAGGGAAAGTGCATTTGTCCAGTTCCATGATTCATGGAAAAAAGGATAAGCCATTGGGTGACTCGTTGACTGGGTTCTAACCGATGGGCTCCTTACGGGAAACTCATCTTAGCAAGGCCAAAGAGAGAGAGTATGGTGTTTCCGAACCGGTAAAAAGCAAACTGGAATCAACCCCTGGGTTAGTGGAACCTGTCAAACGGATCTTCGTCCAGTCTCCCACCTTCGACTTCCGTGTGAAGCCCTCAGGGCTGGTCCCATTCAACTGAAGCGACCGACACTGGGTAGAACACTGAAACCCTGAACCCTGAAAACGAAAAGACAGCTCGCCAACTGATTGACCCCCTCAAGGGTTTCTTGGTTTGCGATTACACCCCAAATCCTAGTTTCAGCATACTGTTTCATATCGAGTCAACCTTAAAAGGACAAATGTCTGAGACTCCAGGGTCACTTGCTGGGCAGCTGAGTTTCCGCTTGCCGAGCTCCCTAGCCAGAAAAAGAAAGGTGCCCTGGCGTCAGGTCCCCAAAGATCTATGAGTTTGTTAGAAAATGGATTTCAGGCCTCACTCGCGCCGCTTAAACCGCCCGAACCCCCCCCCCCCCCCCCCGCGAGCCAACCCCTACCTAAATTCCTCAACTGCCCCACCCTTGACACTTAGAGATCAGCCCCTTCAGGTCCACTAACACCTCCTCTCCTCCCAGCAAAGCACCCCACGCAAGTCCACCAAACCCCCCCCCCCAAATTCCAGCCGCCCCGCGCCGTGAGCAAGGTCTGTTCCACTTTGACCTCAAGCTCCTGCAGAAGGACCTGCTGCTGTCGATTCAGGATGATCTCCTCGGCCGAAAAACACGTCGCACAAGCGCCAGGCGATGTGTCCAACTTGTCAACATCACCCAGCGAAACGAACCCCACTTTAAATGGGCCCTTTAATGTAAACCTCACCCCACCCCCTGAATTCCAGCTCTCAAAAGCCTCACTCTTGGTGGCGGTCAAGCACTTCCTCTCACTTCCCGCGTACTGTCCGCAAAAAGTCCCAACTTGTTTGGGTATTGGCCACCAAAATGGTCCAAACCAAAAAAAGTCCAGAAAAACTCGGGATGTGAGACATTCTGTTCATCATGTTCATCTCAAAAACGCCGCACAACCAGCATCGTTAACCCCGAGCGGCGTCTGCTGGACTGACCAGGTCGCCTTCCTCGTTCAGCCATCCCTGGCCCAGTGGAAAGCCGCCTTCGTCTTCTGATTTCCCTTTGGAAAACCAACAAGTCTAGGCATTGCGGAAATCACCCTCTCTGTGATTTCAAAATATGGGGCATCCCTTGAAACCGCAGAAATTGGCCCTAAAGCCGTGTTGTACAACCATAAGTACACCGTCCGTTGTCCCAGGTTCCCCCCCCCCCCCCCGGTTTTCTGGAAGGAAGGATCCCTGGAAAGAATCGGGTTACCCCAAGATGTAGTTGCTCTACAAGAGGAGTTCTTGTTAGGGTGCCACGTTCTTCATTACACCAAAGAGATGAGAACCAGCAAATGTTCAAGGAGCCTATCCGCAAGTTCATTGTATTTACGCGCAAAAGGACCGCAAAGGGCGGCATTTTCCCGCTTTCCAAGGTCTAAGGGGAAACCACCCGATCTGAAAACCCCTCAAAATGCGACCACCTGAAGAGAACCAGCCGTACCCTGGGAATGCAGCCCATCCGCAATGCACGCCGAACTCCGAACACGGCCTGTTCGTGGATCCAGCTGGTCGGGAGCAGCGTGTCATCCCAATCAAAAAGCCTCGGAACCGGCTTGGCCAACCCCAGTGACTTCTCTTGTCAGATTCAGCTTCGTATTTAGTCAACCCTTTAATAGTAAAAAAACAAGTGGAAAATCAACCCTGAAATTTGAAAGAAAAAAGAACAGCTGGAGAAGATCCCAGGTTTGGTGGGTTTCTCCTTGGCTTCGCGTTGAGAGAGCAAAACAACACTTGGATTCCACCGGTACATGATTAGAACCAACCTTGAACTAGCGGAATCCATCCATTGTCAACCAAACAGACCTATTTAAGAGGACACCTATGAAGCCACACCGGCGAGAGGTGGACCGCAGAATCAACATGACATGGCCTCCTGATTCTGAAGGAACACCTGAGTCAAAAACCCGGTTAAGCAGCACCGGCAAAAATCAACACCATAAATTTAGGGGCCCAGGGGGTGCCGTCGAGCCATTTGAAAAAGCTCCTTAGTTTCGGTAGGTTCAACCAGTAACTTTGACCATCCTTTAGACCAGCCGAAATTACTTCCACGTGTGCAAATCAAAAGTGAGATATATCTGAGCCCTTCTCTCCATTCCAAGACAAATCCAAATGGGAATCCAAAGGGGTTCCGGGAAAGCTTCTTTGGGTCAATGAGCCGACCTCCCCGCTGGATGACCAAGCCTAACACCGGCCGTGCAACGGGAGAATTGCAACAACGTGTCCTTCGGCTGTTGTGGACCAGGGATAAACCCAGGAGCCAAGAATGAATAAACCCTTGAGGCCTTATGAAGGGGCGTTTCTAGGTGATATTTCAAGGGGCTGGAATTCAGTGGATCTTCCCCCGCCAAAAAAAAACACGGCCTTTTGGGTGAAGAGGAAATTCCGTCCTTCCAACTATTCCAACCTGAGCAAAACGTCCAGCCTTTCGCAGGTTCAACGGACAATTTTCAAAATGTTCCCAAGAAGATCTAGCATCCCAGCTTCTACCTCCAAAGATCAGAGGAGGCTTCATTTGTCCGGGCTTACAAACGACCCCCCCCTCAAAGGCTTAAAGGTTAGAGGCCTTCTTTGGCGCCTGAATTTTAGGGCCTAATTTCTCCTTTCAGAGGCCCCATGTTCCGAGCCATGCGGCCGTTTCGCTTCTCAAAGACTCACAAGTTGGTGTTCCTATTTGGTTTCCCCTCAAAACACAGACCAAGGGAGGGTCACTTGCAATGAAAAGTCTGAACCTGCTGGTTGCTACGAGGGTCTGCCCCAAAAGGGAGGGAGCCATCAACCGTTTCCGCATCAGCTCCGAGAAGCAGCAAAGCTTCTGTTGTGTCCAGGCTCACAGGGCTCTCACTCCCTGCTTCGCTACAGTCCTCGGCGAGTCGAATCTCAAAACCACCCCTTGGCAACTGCGCGCCCAAAATCCAACGGTTGAGGCTCTACCGATTCTATAGGGTCAAATCTCCCATTTTCAGGGTTGCTTGAGATGGGGTTGATGGTGGGAGGGGGAATCAACCAAATAATGCGCAAACTTGGTTGATTGTCCTTCCTAAGGTTTCGCAGCACCAAGTCTTGGGTGAGCATTTCTCTGAACCAGGCGCGCAAGTCAAATGGCTTCTTGCCTTCAGAATCCTCTTCGTGGTCCCTTGCTGTGGATGTACAACTCCTGCACCAGTTGGTAGGTGGTTCATCCCAGAATTTATCGGATTTCATGTATCCCAAGGGGGGCTGATCACCGTAATCTTGTCCGTCAGCCCCAAACTGGTCCCACTTCGCTAAGAAGATGTGATTCTGTTTCACATTCAGTCGACCTGAAAATGCAATATATCTTCTGAGACCCCTGATTTGTGGTTGTCCCTTTGGCTTACCCTGTAAACAACTCTCCTAGGGTATTACCACGCCTTCAAGGAGACAGACCCAAAAGATCCAGGCCTTTTGGAAAACTAGATGAATTTCCGAAGCAAACTGGAACCAGTGAAAACACTTCTTGTCAACCAGACTGACCGAAAGGAACCCCCCCGGCCAGGTACAATAAGGGCCTAAATTAAATGACTATAGTAGGGTTGCGGGGAACTTGCAAACCAGTTGTAGCTATGATCATAGGGGCAAACAAACTGTGTGTAACTATTTAGCCCGTGTATGGATGAGTGCTAGTTTCTGAGGGTAGGAAAAGCCAAAAGCAAACTCTGTCATCTTGGGTGCAATACAATGTTCACACATACATGAGCATCTAGACTGCCAAATGACTAGGAAGACATGTCATATCGCTAGCCATATATTGATCTAATTATCCGTGTCCTATATGTTCTTGACTAAAGCAGTCAAGGCTATACTTCGACATCCTGCACCCATACATCAAACAGTTTGACCGTGCATGGCCCTTGGGCCAGTCATTACGTTGCCCGAGGCACGGTGCTCAGGCTCAACTCCGAATCCTCGCAAATGGTCTCCAGCCTGTGCTTGAGCTCGTCTCCTCGGTTCTCAAACCCGCAGGACGCCGAGTCTGCTTGTTGGGTACAGCTCGAATTACCCGGACCCCAAAATGGTTGGTCTCCTTTTGGCTTCCCTTCACGAAAACTCACCTGAGTTGTTTGCCACGTTTGTCTTCCCAATCAGCATCTAAAGTCCAGGGACCCGGAAAAATCAGACCATGTTCAACCTTAAGGCAAGGGACGAAGGTGCTGGAAACCTTCCCCTAGAATATGCTCATGGATTTTCGGTGAAACGGCCGTGCATGCTCTGCTGCTCATCCCTAAAATATAGACAGACACAAGCGTCCAGTAACTCCTACACCAACAATCTTGCCTGGAACAAACGGTTGCTAGGAGGCTGGACCGAAGGAAAAGACAAGGACCAACAAGGTAAGCTTTCATGTTTGCTGCGATATTGCAGTGAATCACACTGGTGTTGCAATTTTTGCGCCACTTGGGCGATTCTTTCCATAGCTGAAAGGGGCGAAGTCTCATGCCCAGGGCCCTTTGGTACACTTGTGATGAGTTCTGTCCATCGGTGGCTTATCCCGTTGTTCCTAGGGTTTCATCTAACTGGTCGTTGCGCGCATGCTGTCCACCATCGCGAACCCCTTTTTGGCTTTCTTGCAAGGCAAAGAGAAACCACCCGAATCAAGCGGACTCCCTCAGGGGACCCACCAAAGAATGCAGCATCCCAGAGGAACACAAATCCTCAAGGGCGAATCTCATTGACAGGGCCTCCTGAGTGTTTCTCAAAATGGTGGACCCCTGTTCAGTTGGTGTCTAAATGGAAGCTACAAAGAAACCAACCATTTTAGGGGACCCCCACCCACTCATCTTCGTCGCGCAAATCGAGCGAGGCTCTGGGCACATCGAAGAGCAAGGCCGTCATGGTCGGCAAGTGCGTTAGACTCGGACTCAGATCTCGGCCAAAGAGGGAAGCGACTTGAGGTGTCTCTTGTTGAAAGCACCATGCCATCTACTTGATCTGGTGAATGTGGTGTGCTTTTCTTGGAGGTGTGGTGGACGTATTGGACCTGTGATGAGCTTAGTGTTTGGACTTTGGGCCGGAACTGATTCACTCACGTGCAACTAGCTACTGGCACTAGCCGTCTCTAAGCAAAATGAAGATTGCTGCGGATTCGGCGGCTTCAGGCGAACAGTCCCTCTTCTGAAGCCCAAGCCTCCCGATTGAGCCTGTGGCTTTCAGGCTAAAAGCTAGCCCTAGGCGAGGGTGTTGGGGAGGGTTGTGCAGGGTCCCTGCCACGGAATGTGACAGCCAAAGGATTGGGCCACGGGGAAACCCGCTGACTCGAACCACTTGCGCCTGGACTCAGCAAGACCTGGCTTCCACATGTTCCGATTCTCAGGATGCCTCCCGGTTTGATATGTCGCCTATGTGCTTGGAGCCTCCAACCTCCCTGTGGGCCAATCCGAGCATGGTTGGGGTTTTGCTGCAAACCCTTCCTTTTCCTTGCGTCATTCTAAGGCAAATGTTTCAGACGGGAGCTTGGTTGAAAAATAAGGAACCTTGTTCAGAACCAAGGATGCGCCCAGTTTTTCTTAGGTGTTCCTTTCAACCCCAAACAGGGCACCCTCCTCAAAAAGACACACCCAAGCCAACCAAAAGCGGGCAACTCCTAGTCGTGGCTCCACCTTTCTTGGGACAAGTTGGGGCGCCGTTCGCTTGTTCAATGAGGTCTGCCAAGGATGCGAGGATGAGCCTCGAGTGAGTGGCGATAGGGGTCTGCTGTACTACAGCTCCCGGTATCTCACATCTCACCCGAAAGGTGCGATGAAACTGGCTGACATGGGGAAATGCTTGCAACCCTTCTACCCAAATCAGTCAAGGAATTGGTTTGGCCGGGTTCGGCCGAAGTTTATGGCGAGGGGACTTCTCCTTATCATCACTTTTCTATCTCCCTCTCGAGTGGAAACACTTTTGGGAAGAGCGCACCCGCTTTTCGCGTCCCTTTCCCGTGACTTGGGGGAGTAGTGGGTATGTGTTAAAGTAGGGAATCGCAGCCCCAGATGGATTGTTCTGTTTTCCTGTTGCCCTTTCATGCAATTTCAGGGTACTCGCCTTGCCCAGGCCGTCGTAGAAGGGGTTGGACGCGGCATCCACGTACAGCAAGTTCAGCTGCCTGCGGGTTGAGTCAACCTACCGTAGGAGAGAGGCTACGACTCTGACCGTACAACAAGCTCCAGTTAAGACCCATTGAGCCCCTGAAAACTCTTGCAAGGGATGCCCCGATCAAACTTTTGACGACCCCTTGACCTTTGTGGTTGAAGACGGGCGCCTTAATGAGGGTTCCAGGGTCCTGCACTCTTAAGGCAGTGCTCAAAGTGGCAGCTGGGCGGCCAAACTAATTTTCACTACTCCCAGTTGGGAAACACAAACAAAAAGACCAAAGCCCAGTGTACCCTTGCGCTCCTGGACCCCCTAGCAGGCTAGAAGTCGCAAACAAAAAAAACACATCCTAAAGGTCCCTGTCCAATCTCGAAACACACACCAATTAATGGAGCAAGAGTGGGCCCCCCAAAGAGTTCCCCCCCCCCAAAGAAAAAAAAACACGAATGGTGGGTTACCATACAGTTCCTCTCTTTCCACCAATGATAGAAGTGCAGAGTTGGAAGTTTTCCCAAACAAAACAAAATCTTCCCACCTCCGCTTCCTGTCGCTTGGTTGGGAGGGCACCCAACGAGGGTACGCAGCCACTCCCGCCTCAGCATGGATCGCAGGATCGCCTCCTCGTCGCGTCTTTGTCGACAGGCCTGGACGGCAAACAAAAAAAAGATGAGATCTTCATGCGACCCCCCGTCTTTTGGCATTTCGCAGCCCCAAAAAACCCAAAACGAGAAACTGTTTAATAACAAATGGACCCCCCGCCCTTTTGGCATGTCGCACTCCAAGCATCAAAAGGCTAGACTTTTTTGGAACAAAGAAACCTGGGAGGTGGGTAGAAGAGCGAGTTCTGCAACACATCGGCCCCTTTTACGGCATCCGTCGGCTTGAGTCCACCTTGCCAGTTAAAGAAAGGAGGCCACCCTGTGAACAACTTGGAACAGGCGAAGGAGTCCATCGTGTTGGTGGGCTGCTTCCCGGTCGCCGGTCAGAGACCATCTGAGGGTTACTCAAATGAAAAGATCCCAGTTTTGGAATGGCCGTGTTCTCCCTTTCAAGGGAAGGTCTGGTCAACAAGGCAGAGCCAACTGGGGGATATTGGGGGGGGTTTGGGGGGGTTTGGGGGGGTTTGGGGGGGTTTGTGGGGGGGGGGGGGTTGTGCCCAACAGCTCCGAGCATACCCCAGAAAGGGGTCAAGGCATGCGCTTCTAAAATCTTCCCAGTTCTCGAGTGGAATTCCGACTGAAAAACGTCCCTTTGCTTAAGCCCCTGGAAAGAATAGACATACTTCCGTACTTTATCCTATAGATTCCCTTTAGGATCAAAAGGGGAAAAGAAGACATAGTCTTAAGCAAATGGTTGAAAAACATGGTGCCCTTTCTTTGGTTGGTGCCCAACCGGAGAAAACACGACCCTTTGTTTGTTTGCTTGACTTCGCAGGGCGGTTCCCCGCCCCAAACATGTTAACAAAATGCCCCCTTCGTTTGGCTAACCCAACGAAAACAAACAAGCAAACAAAGAAACAAACAAACGAACACAACGGGCACCACTGGTCTAACATCTTGCAGCTGAGCAGCCCCATCCCGGACAATGGCCAACACCTGGCGCACGGCGGCAAGGACTTTAAGTCGTTGGGCCCAGCGGCTTCCCAGACTTCTGGGTGCTGAATAGCGAATAACGAAAAAAAGAAAAGAAAAAAGAAGGGGGAAAAAACAAAAAACATAACACCTGTACCGCGGTTGGTTTCTTTTGTGTATATATATATATATATATATATATGTGTGTGTGTGTACATATGTGTATATATATATATATGTGTATATATGTATATATATATATATATGTGTATGTATATTTATATGTGCTACCTAGCACCCACGTATTCCTTTGGGATGCCTTCAAAAATCACTGTGTAAGGTTTGCTAACTATGGAACGGAACTCAACAGCATCTTTGTTGGTTGGGGGCAAAAGCTGAGTCACTCGTCTGACAGTCATTCATCATCGTTGTCTGCGTGGACTTCCTGGAATGAGTTGACTTGGTCAATGGGTCCATTCGATGATTCAGTGGATCGCCTTGGGTAACATTGGACAAATCAGAATGCTGACCGAATGTTGCACTTGATCAAGTGGTTGAGTTGAATCTCACAGCGGAAAGTCAAACCCGTGTGGTTGGGCCAAGCTCGCTGAAGGGAAAAAGGGTGCCAAGGGTGGAGTCCGCTGGCGCAACTGGAACACATTTGCCTTTTAGAGGGCGGAAGGTTTGAGAAGTCGTGTTGACCTTTGGTCAACAAACCCCGTTTTTTCCCAAGGGTTCCACATAATGCATAACCGATCCTTGCCAAAAGGTGATGAAAGGAAAATCCACCGGTAACCCTCCAAGATTGGGTTTCTCTCCGATTGTGGACCGCAAAAAATGGGTGTGCTTGGATGATTTGGGGCTTGTGCAGTAAGTCGGGGTTTCTATCCACAAAGCTACTTCCTAGTCTGAGCATCCCAAAAGACTTGCTGGTTCTTAAGAATCAGCTCTGGGGTTCTGGGAATGAACCACGGTATCCCCTGAAGAAAACCACCAGGGATAGCTCATAGGGGCAGAACAGGCAAGTGGCACTTGGGAGTTTTGGGCCATGTGTTGTTCACAGCGAAGGGCAAAACGCCAATGAACTCGGCGTGGTTGCGCCCTGCAGCCTTCACTCGCGTGGCCGCCACGTAGCCATAGATGTTGCAGTCCTGGCAAGCCGAAACGCCAGACTGAGGCCTCGTTTGGTCAGACTGATGCGGCGCCTTACAAAAGTGATTACTTTTTGTTGGGAAACACAGGACAATGAAAGGAACCCAAAAGTTGCAAAGCCAAACAGCTTCGTGAAGTCTGGCAATGTGTCTCATCCCACAAAGCCTTAACTGTAGCCCCCGGAAGTCTGTCAAGGCTTTGGTTGCAGGTGATCCCTGGTTTTCCTTGGGATCAGTCCAGACCATACTCCGGAACACCTCCACTTAGTGGGAGTCGAATTCATAGGGACATTCCACGGAGCATGTTCCCGATTTCGGAGATCTCGGGCAGTTCAATTGGCCTTGGATTCCCCTCGACGCCATCGCACGGGATCTGTAAGAAATGGGCGAAACCACCAGAACCAGAAAAGAAGACAGGGGTGGAAGCATGGCCGTGGAGAAAAAACGGCACTCTTTCCTGGGTAGTTGACTTACAAGGGAAACCCCCTGAAAAGGCACCACTGGAAGCCACTGGACTCACTGGACGAGAACAGACTGAGCTGCTTAGCGGAAACCATTGGATCCCCGGAAAGGCCCGGCCCATTGGGCAATGATGGCAATTTTTCTCCACATGAAATCTGCGCCCACACCGTGGCCTTGGCGAACAAGGGCATCGTTCTTTTTGGTTGATCTTCAAGGAACGCTCTTCCGTAACTGGTCCTTGTTTGAGGGTCCCTGCTCGAGGTTGGCAAGGGAAGCCAACGCAAAACCAACAATTTTGGGAACACACCCATATGGCTGTGGGGGAAACAGGGGTTGGTTGGCTTATCATGTTGAAATAACTTGGAACCATGGGGCGATCGTCAGCCTTGATGATCGAAGACCTCAAAAAAACGCTCAGGGCCCTTTCCAGGTACGACGGCTTTGCCCATCCTCCACGTCAAAGAGCGCAGGGGACAAGATGCCCACATAGGGATCCGAGCCCTTGGCCTGCAACGAGAGTGTGCTTTCCCCGTCAATCAGCGGAAGCCCCTATTGAAGCTACTTAGCTATTTCTATACACAGCTATTTCTATACACGTGTGTACATATATATATATGTATACATATATATGTGTATGTGCATGTGTGTGTGTGTGGGTGTGTGCCTGTTTGTTTGAGGGAACCCTTTTTAGGCGAAAACTATGGGGTACTTTCGGTAAAGGCGGCGAGTACAGCCGGGAAGCGGTGCGCATCCATGATTGCAAATACCCCATAGCGCTATCATCAGTCCTCGCTCTTTTTGCAGGAACCATAGACAACAATTTACATGTGTTTAACTTGCGCAACAACATCCATGGCCAACACAAAGACCACCTTCGTTTGAACCGAGTGGCTTGAAAGGGGGCCCAACCGGGCAAGAGTTGCTTTCAGCGGCAATCACCAGAAGTGTATGAGTCGAGTTAGTGATCCCTGAGGGGCCAGAGTGCCAGACAGTTCGAGTTCCATGACTTACCAAAAATCTGAACAGTTCCAAAATTGATAAGCCCTGAAAGGTGTATGGCGTCTTGGTTTCTCTGTTAGCATAACCTGAAGAAGGCTGGCAACGTCGAGAGGCCCCGGGCAGATAAAGCAGGCGCCCAAGAACCATTCGAGGCCTTTCCGTTGAGCGATTTATGCTGCGTGTGTGTGTGTGTGTGTGTGTGTATTGGAAGGCGGTCGTCTTCATTTCCGAGACCTCCAGCAAGGCAAAAAGGCACTTGTTTGGTACTTGGTTTTAAAGAGCGGTTGGGGTGGTTGTATTTTGAACTAGCTCCGGCTTTTTACCAGCCCCGGCTCAGCACAAGGCCTCCAAAGAGGTTGGCTTGGAGCCCTTGCTTGACTCTCAGGCCGCATCCCCAGCATCACTGGCCTCGCTCGGACTAAGGGTGCCTGTTGGCTTTGATTTGGTAGCAGTTCAGAGTTGCTCGGGTAATTAGTTTGGGGTGAGTGTTGGGCTTGCTAAGGTCTTATTGAGGGCGGGTGTTGGGTTTGTTTGGGGTTCATTTAGGCTCGGGAAAGGGCTGATATCCAGGATGCTGTTTGGAGGGCTGAAGATAAACTTTCAGTCGGCCTGGGTTGGTTTGAGGCCGATTTGTGCTGGGTGTGCGGCTGGTTTAGCAGTGGCTTTAGAGTTTGCTTTCGGGATGTGGTTGCGCGAGTTTTGGGCTAAGTTTGGTGGTTGGGAGCAACGCCACACAACCGATCCCAAACCAGTCCAACACTTGCACAACCACGTCCTGAAGCAACCCTAAGAACAATGCTAAACCAGCCGCACACCCAGCACAAATCAGCCCCAAACCAACCCAAGCTAACTCAAAGTCAACCTTAAACGCTCCAAACAGCAAACTGGATAGCAGCCCTTTCCCGAACCTAAATGAACCCCAAACAAACCCAAGGCCCAGGCACCCATAGTCCGAGCGAGGCCGGTGATGCCGGGGATGACGCCGGTTAAACCCGAGCAACTCTCAACTGCCACCAAATCACGGCTAATATGCAGCCCTGCTCAGCCAAACCAGCCAACCAACCAACCAACCAACCAACCAACCAACCAACCAACCAACCAACCAACTAACCAACCAACCAGCCCCCCTAGCCGGGGCTAGTAAAAGAAGAGCACCGGTTCCTTTAAAGGGCACCCCTCCCAAAAAGAATGGCAAAAGCAAGGGGCACTGGGTGTCCAGGATTTGCCTAAAACCCACGCGGTGAGACCCGCCTCTCCCTTTTGAAGCGCTTGAGCCACGTTCTGGAGCTGAACCTGGCAAATGCTGAAAGAGAGTTGGGCGCGTCTTTTCGGCGTGCCCTGTTTGGGGTCGGTCAAAGGACCGCATAGTGAAACCTGCAAGAGAACAAATGAGTATCAACAGAGGAGTTTGGACACCCATAACCGGCTTCGTGTTCCTTTCATGCTCCCTCGAAATCAATCTAACAAGATACAGCCCTCGTAAAATGAGGTGTGTACAGGGAAAACTAGTTCACGTGCTCACCGGTCCGGGCGTAAAACGAGCAAGAGTCCATGATGAGGGTCCCTCACCTGGGGATTCCGAGATTCAAAAGAAGACGCGCTCCAATATGAACGCAACAAGCACCAGGCGGACTTTGTACCGTTTTGCGAGAAGATCGACATCCCCGCCAAGAGGAATAATCTTGAACTTTGGGGGCCAGGTATGTTTCTACTACGCTGGCCTTTCTAATTACTTATTCTTCAAATTTAAAGTTCACGCCTTGCTATCACAGAATTTCGGGCATCCCGGAATCTTACCCCAAAATGCATGCAACATAGACCCGTTCAGAGTCCACCATGGCTACGCCCCCCCCCTCTCCAATTCCATGCGGTTGGCCCCCTGCAAATTAACCTGGAACCCAAACAACCATCATTTGCGGGCAACCGGTAGTTTGCAGGGGAAGCAAAGGGAAGTGAGATGGCGGCTCAAAAATACCTGCACCTTTAGCGAACATCGGATTCAATCCAACCACTACAGTCGGTTCTAAAATGGTTGGTGCATTCACCTACCTTGCCCAAAATGGGATCAACCAAAACGGTTTTGACAACAGCCAGATCAAGCGGCCAACTTTGGATCTCCACCTCCGCCTGGTCCAAGGCCGCATGCAGCAGCAGCTGGAGCCTGGGAACTCGGGGCGCCTCGGGCGCCTGGGGACCTGCTTCGTTTTTGCGGCCCCCAACAACGGGCCTGCGGCGGAACTAGGGATGCTTCCCCCCCCCCATTCTGAAGATTCCAGTCATGTCGGGGTAGTCCAAGAGGGTTGGCGCAGACTTGCTGCTTTGATAGGCAGGGATTGAGAAATGGAAGGACCCCATGCCCTATCCTTTCCTTGATGTAAGGGAATCCCCAAACGGTTCACTCCCACCGGACTAGGTCATTCCCTACTGAGCACCAGCAAGTCAAAGAGCCATCAGACTTGGCACCTAAGCTCTTTGAGGCCTTTGGGGAAGTCTTGTGCTGGAGCCGAGTTGGTTGTTACAATCGAATTTAGGTTGTGACGTGGGTGTTTGCTACCAAAGGCGTGGGGCTCTGATGTTTAACCCTACTGGGGCAACACCCAAACCTTTGTGTACACAAGACATTCCGACTGAGCGTTGATCATTCGCTGTCAAGGGAACCCTGCAGAAAAGCCATTTGCTTCCAAACGGTCCTTCTGGGGCCGAAGTCACCTAGGTCCTCCAGTAGAGAGGATAGAATAAGGGTACCCCTTTTCTGTAGTCTATTTTGGTGGGGGAACCCTCCCCCCAAAAAAAGGGTAAAAGGGCACTACTGGGGGGCCTAGTCACACCAAGGACCACTCCAGGTTTCAGGGCAAACCAACCCCCCCGGGGGGTCAATCCTCCCTCACCGAGCTCCCGCGCTCCAGGTCATCCGCATCCGGCGGCACGGACTCGGCTCGGTTTCGCACTTCATAAGGGCCGAACGGCTCCTTTGAACCAATCCAAAACACAACCTGGCAGCAAATCCTGGATCTGGCCAGCTTGGAGCGATGCATTTCCAGAGCGAATGACCTGGAAACTGCAAAGAGTGGGGGGGCTTGAGGTTCCCGTGGAGGTGCAAACAATCTGAGAAAAACCAAAGCTCTCGATGTATAGCCAGTTAGCCATTCAACGAAAGCTGTGCACTGGGGGGCAGTGGCTGGGTACAAAACCCGGCTGTCTCAACCTGAGAAACCAGCGAACCGAGAAACACAGGAAGTCAGCTTGATTCCCATCAACACTTCTGACAGAAAATCCTGTCGATTAGCATGATCTTCGAACTTCCCCTCCTTAATGGGTGACTGTCCCCTGCAAGCCCAAGCCCAAGTATCATGAATCCTGGCAGAAGTTCTCTGAAAGAGACGTTCGGTGTTAGATGGACCTTCTGTGTTCGTGTGAAGGAGGGGACATAGCCAAGACAACTAGCTGCACATTGCTAGAAACTGCCAAACCCACAAAGCTGGAAAGGTTGGTGACATCCAAGCAAATCGAAAGTCGACCAATCTTCTGGAGGGTTCCAACGAGTGGGGGCAGCTGCAACCAAGGTTTTGGGGGACCCCCGGAATCGGCCCATCGCTCAGGATTCTATCAGCAAGGCATCTCCGAAGGCACCTTGTGGGCAGCTTTGACAACCACCGCTGGGGAAAGCTGGTCGGGAAAATGGCAATTCAGCCCTGGTTGACTCCTTCCAGTAGAATCCAAATCACTGGGGGACACCCCCGGGATTTATCATCCACGCGGTGGATTCCTCGGCCCACATTGGCCAAGCAATCCCTTTTTGTTTGGTAGGGCCGGTTCAGACACCTATGGCTTGGACCACCCAGGTCGTTAGGCTCTGTCAAAAGTAACCAATGTTGCCCGACCCTGGCGGCTGCCCAAGCGACAGTCCCATGGGCCGCCGGGCGGCTTTTCGAAAGCTGCGGAAGAACAGGAGCCCGCCGTCCCGGCCTCGCGTTGCTCCCGCACGTCCCAGCGCTCGGGTTTGTCAATCGGGGCTTTTTGAAGGCCCGGGCGCTCGGACACCCAAAGGCCGCGCATCCAGATTACTGAGACATCCTCAAGATTGCCCAAGTGGGTGGTTTGAAAAGGGTGCTCGAAACTGCCAGAGCCAAGTGGCGACTTGAAGGACCAGGATTCGTACTGGTAGTTTTGAGAACTCATGTAGACCCCGGATCAAAGTAGAACTCAGTGGATCGCTAGGGAGTGCTCCTCTTACAGCTGCGTCCTTACTGCTCGGCATGCTGTCAGCCTTGCGGTGATTTCCAGCTTCTGGCCCCAGCTGAAGGCAAGCAAGCCTTCGCTTGGCTGTCCATCCCCACTTCCTTCTGCTCGGCGCGGGGCCAGTACAACTGCTCTTGCGCCAAGATTCGTAGGGCACATCAGCATCCACTCGTCTACCTGACTTGGAAGAACAACCCCAGCATACAGGCGCTCGCACATTTTGCTTCAGGCCCAAAACTCGCCAGGAGAACAGAAACAACACACGCACCAGCCGAAAAGTCTGGAGAACACAGTGGACCCCAAGCCCTACGCATCATAAGGAAGAACATATGATTGTCCAAATTCTGACAAATATACCGACGCAAGAATCCTCAAGGATGGGACCTGCATCATGATGAGCTCGTTTTTTGTTCCAGGTGAGCTCGCTGTATAAAGTAAGCAAATGATTGTTCAAAGTCAAGCATGCTGAGCTGCTCGGCTCGGACAAGAACCTTCACAGCGAAGGGCTCCTATCAAACCTTGCTGGAAAGGGTACCCCTTTGAACCCTTAGAGACGTCTCATTTACGTGTTCGGTGTCAAAACATGAGATATAGTCACAAGTCATGACCGTGGAAAACCAACTTGTCTATGGATCGCAAGGGAAAACAAAAATACATCAACCATCTCGAGGTCCCTCGGCATGCAGAACTGAACCCAGCACATCACATCATCCCAAAACCGAACGCCCGATGAAGGAATTGGGGGCAAAAAAGGAACCGACATCCACAGAAGCAGAAAATCAAGAACAACACGAAACAAACAAAGGCAAAAGCACTCAAATCAAGTAACACGGAGACAAACAGCCCGCCACAACAGGCGACCAACCATGTCACACGCAACATGACTTCCCGTTTGAGAGCCTTGTGAAGGCAAAACTAACCCTTGCCGTCTTTGAAAATTCCGATGAGACTGTCAAATAACAGATCCATCGCCGGGACATCCAACACATGGTCTAAACCACAGCAAGGGCCCCACACTCCCATTAGTCGGGAAAACCCATTCGGCAAAAAGTTAAAGTCCTGACATATGTTTTGGCAAAATGGGGTCGCCCGTTCTGGAGATCTCCCATCCCTGCACGGAGCTCATGGAGCTCGCGCCGAGGCCCTTGGCCGATGATGGCCACACAGAGCACAGGTTCCTCGCGCTGCATCTGCCCAAGGCCGTGCTGCGGTCTCCGAGTTGGTCGAACTGACCCCCCTGCAAATGACTTGTGCGTTGTGCTGGCTGATGAGGAGAAATAGGTGTGTCCTAAAGAGGTTGGAAGACAACCAAGTGAAGCTTGTCCGTTGCTGAAAAATTTGCCACTTGACCTTGATCTGCGCACTGCTGGCCTTGTCTCGTTACCAGCCCTTGGCGACATGATGCCTCAGCTTCCACTCAAAAGCTTGCAACTCAACATGGCCTCAGTGCGGCTCAAGTGATGTGTTGTGCTGTGGCACGGCAAGGCCGTGGCTGTCACAGCAGAGTCCTGTGTTGTACCAAATCTGTTTCGCTTCGAGAAGCAATGTGCGAGGCGCGCCAAATGGCTCCATATCAGCCACGGTCAAAACAACTCCTAGAGAGCATTCGAAAATTCATGAGTCCCCCGGTTTTGGTTGAGTGAGTCCCATGTCCCTCCCAAACGCAACGTAGACTGCTGGAATTGTATACCAAACCTCACTTCTTTGCGGACAGCTGAAGTGGTGATACATTTGGGGATGGTCACTTAGCGTCCGTACTACCGAAGTTCCTTCTAAACTTCCTTTGACGAAATCGAGGGGTCCTCAAAAGGGCAAACACCCTTCAAAAGGAAGGCGTAACGCAAAGATTTTCTGAAGCATTCGTCACCTGGGATGTTCTCAGCTAGAAAGATATCTTTGTTCCATCGCCAACAGGGAGACTCGCAAGAGAGGATCCTTTAAACAACCTCCAGCTGACTTAAGAGATTATTCTTTGGATCTTAAACCACTCATTTGAGAGGATGTCTACAGATAGAGGTGACCTGCCCTTTTTAGAACGAGGTCCAACTGTATTTCCTGAGGTCCCGTTCAGAGGAGTCCCTTCTCCCAGACCTCCAGTGGCCAATAAAACCACATAAACAAACAATATGTAATAAAAATGAGAATAAAAACCACGTAAAATGCCAAAACAACATAACAGTTCTACAAATTCAAAAAGGCCCCACCCTGTGTGGGCGTGAGATTCACTCGAAAGCGTCCAACAGCCCCGGCCCAAGGCTGCTGGGTGTGAGCCTCCTTTTCCGTCAGCAAGCGCTGGGCTCAAGTGATGACCGAACGGCCCAAGTCTTGTGCTCCAAAAGAAACAAACCGAATAAGCTCTATACCTAATGTATGTGTAATGTAATGTGAATGTGCATGTGAATGTGTATGTGAATGTGTATGCGTATAAGCATGTAGATGTGTAAGTGTATGTGGTTTTGTATGTGTACGTGTATATGTACGTGTATGGGTATGTGTAAGTGTATGTGTTGCATGTGTTGTATGTGTTCTATGTATTGTATGTGTATGTGTATGCGCATGTGTGTGTGTGTGTGTGTGTCTGTGTGGTTTCATATGTCCTCTGCAAATATTGCAATTGGCATGCCTTTGTGTAGGCTCGGTACCCTTGTTGGGGTTGTTTGTTTGGGAAACCGATTATTAGATATGTATCGCTTAATTCTAGTGATCAAAGCAAGCATCAAGACCATCAGCCGATTATCTAAGGCACAGTGTCACGTGCCTCCTCAGCCCCAACAGACCTCCCAAGTGTGGGATCGCGTCCTCATACTGAGCGATAAACTTGCTGGTTCTCAGCAGGGAATGATGGAATGACCCAGGAACCGTACCTTGCGGTTTCCTTAAAGGGAATCTCCAGGTTCATTCCCAACACCCTGGGTCATTCCCTACTGAGCAGTAGCAAGTCAAATATGGGGCCAAACAATTACACATTGCTCTTTCCCACCATGACAAAACATTTGCTTTTCAAGTCCCAAACTAAATTCGAGCGTTTGAGGCCCTTTTTGAGGCGCTTATAGTATGCGGCGTGTCAAGGATGGCGAACACTACCCTATCCACCCACACGTCTCGCTCGATCACTGGGCCAGGGATTGGGATTGGACCATTTCGCTTCCACTGTTCAAAGCAATCTCCTTCTGGGTTTTTAAAGGGACCAGAGGCTGGTTGTTTAACATTTACCCAACCCCATCCCCCAACAATCACTGGTAGAATTGCCAACTCCCAAGTTGGAAAAGCAGAATTGCCCAACCCCCCCCCCAAAAAAAAAAAAAAAACACGAATCACCGAAAACTATTCGGTAGATCTCTTCCCTCCCAAGGCAAACCATGGCTTCGCTCAGAGCGAAATCGGCTCCGCTTCGCGGTCGAATCGGCTCAGAGGTACTCGAGGCCCAAGGCCTTCCGCACCTCACGAAACCCGCGGCGGGCTTCCACCCCATCTCCCCGTCTGGCCTGTCTGGGTGCGTCTTGTTTAAGGGGACACCCCACAATCGCCTCGGTGGTTTGGTTGGTCTTCCTTTTGTGTCTGTTACCAAAAGAAGGATAGCCTCCAAAAGCAAGGCACAACCTTTGGCGCCCCCATCCGCACACAAAACATGTAGTGCCCATGGGGTGGCTGAACCTCCCTCCTGCTCCAGCAACGGGAAGGTGAGGATGGCGTGCGGACCTGGGAGCCACGAGTCTGCGCCACGGCTTCCTTTTGTTTCTGCGCTCGGGCACTTGGGCTACCCAAGAGCTGAGTTGCCCTCCCACCCTTTTCACATGGAACCTGAAGTTCGGGAATTCCCCAAGCTGTTCAGCCCGCTTCAGGGAACTTGTGTTTTGGGCGCGTCGAATATCCCTTGCTCAGATCAACCAGGAGCTAAGCGATTCGTATCCAAATAATCCTCGCCCAACCCTAGATACCCAGCAGGGGATGCCTTTAAGAGGAAACTGATTTCTAGGTACCCTCCCGGTGCTATGTTTGTTGGAGGAAGGGTAACCCTCCAGTAAGTTTTTCTAAGAAGGGCAACTATCCAGTCTGCGAAGCTCTCCATGTGTCAGGGCTCCCAGCCGAGACGGCAGTAGGCGGGCCACCACCCACGGAAGAGGCTGGCCGCCCCCTCCAAAGCGAGGCCGCGGGCTGACAGCTCAGTTGAGGCAGTTTGGGCAGGGAGCAGCTCGGAACTCAAGCAAAGACTACCCTCCCACCCTTGTCACATGGAACCTGACGTTTGTGGGCCCCTTTAAATGGAAAATAGTCTTTCAGGACCCCCCAAACGTCAGGTTCCATGCTAATTGGTGGAGGGCAAATGACCCAGCCTTGATTCGCGTAGTTCTTTGAATATTGTCTGGTCTTCATTTTGTGTGGCAATGGAGGCTGCCAAGCAAGTATCAACCCATAGCGATCCCAGTGTCATGGGGGAAGCTTCATGAGTCCCGCGTCTTAGTGAGTCCCATGTCCTGGAACTGGAACACTGGGACTCAGGGACACTGGAACACTGGAACACTGTAACATTGGAACGCTAGAACAGTGGAACACTGGAACACTGTGAGACTGGGACACTGGAACACTGGAACACTGGAACACTGGAACGTTGGAACTGCAACACTGGAACACTGCCTCAGCTTTTGGGGATTGGCCCGATTGGGACACCACAAATGGTCGGCGTCCATTCCCCTTTCAACGCCCTTCTTTGTGTCTTTGTGTTCCAGTCTTCCTACTCCCTGAAGTGATCCGGCTTCCTTTTGCCACACTTGTCTTGTTGTTTGCATTTGGCCGTCGCACGGGATGGGACAAACTTATACATCTTTTCCTAACTCTCATTTTGATTAAGAACCCCAAATTGCGAAATTTAACACCCTAAACAGAAGCCGCGCTTCTAACGCGCCTCCTCGCGCAGCGTGAAGCGCAGAGCATCCATGAACCCGCGAGGAAATCGGGAGCCTCGATTCTCGGCCGTCGCTTGTAGGGTTGCTCCAAAGATGCGATCGGCACCAGGGTAGAAGGAAGCGCTTTCCAAGATTGAAAGAGGAAATGGGGATATTGACTTGGGTGTTTCTCAAACAGTGAACCCAGGGAAACCAACCCTTATAGGCTACGTTGAATTGCCCAAATTCTCATCCTTCTCCTTCCAGTAGAGGCCCAAGTGAATGCCCGACAATGTCACCCAATGTCACCAGGAATCCGCCCCCCCAAAAAATAAAAATAAAGAGCATCGGTCAACTGCGTCCTTTGATTCCCCTGCACTGGGCTCAGATGTTTGTTTTGTCACGCCTATGACTGTTGAGGCACTGGACATGGTTGTGGGAAATAATCAAAGAACCCTCTCTGTGATACCACAGTGGGCCATCCCCACTTGTCACTTGCAAGGGGGGGTCCCTGGCATCGCAGAAACTGGCCCTCAACCCCATTTCAGCATTAAACTCATCCACACGGTTGGATTTGCATCCGGTTCCACTGATGTTGGGTGGCGGATGGGAGCTCACCGCAAAAGCAAGTAACCCAAGCCAACCAACATGATCCAACCTATTCCAACAGGCCCGTCCATCCGCTCCTTTTCTTCTGAACTCCGATGTCTCCAACCACCTACCTCACCGGAAACCCCTGGATTGCTCCGCAACGCCCCGTTTTTGGCGTTTCCGGAGACTTCGAACCCCGACCCTTCGGTGATCTTCCTTCGAACAAGGAAATAGTCAAAAGTATATCACGACGTGTGTCTCGTTGAGCCCACCTAAAGGAGCCCGAGCCGTCCCCCCGCGCCGTCCCCCGCCCCTTTTGTGGCCCCTCCGCCCCGAGCCATCGTCCCATCGTCGCGTCGTGCGAGGCGCCGTCGTCCGCCATGACGCAGCTCTTCAGCTTGTCGAAGGGCGCCGCCACGGTGGTGGCCACCACCCCTGGCGAGCGCATGGATCGGCGAGCGGCGAGCGGGTCGTTGTTCGCAGGGATCGGCGCACCGGGGGAAGGGGGTTACAAGGAAGAGGGAAAACTCGGATTGGGGGGGGGAGGGTTTCAAGGAAGAGGGGAAACTTAGACTTGGAGTCTGTTTGGCCCTCCAGGTTTCCAATGAAGTAGTCTCAAAGGGGGCTACCCCAAGGGAACTGGGCTTCTAATATTGTCCTGAACGCTGCCCCAAAATGAAGATGTCCTTTTGGCCTGATGGAAAAAATGTATGGTTTAAATGGCCAAATTGTATCTTTGAAGGAGCCGTGCTGGACCTTCAAGTTGCAACCAGTGACTTTCGGCTCTACCAAAATGATTAGAATGGTTTGAATCACCCACACTAGGCTCCCCAATGAAAACAGGTAGCCAGCAACCAGTGACCCGAAAGGTAAAGAAAACAATAAAGAATCAACAGGACTTCTCCATATCCGCGCCCATTGGTGGCAGTGCTGTCGCTGTGGTTGTCACGTGATGCATGGATGCTTGCCAGTCACGAATCCATACCTTGAAAACATCAGTTGGAGAAACAAAACGAATGGGTCTTTCTTGAAATAGTGGACTTCGAAAAATTTTGGGGTTCCCAATTCGTTCTGTCGACCCGGGTTTTGGCGCGAAGCGGCCTGTGATCAGCGAGGTCGCCACGTGGAGCATGAAGGGCTCGCGCTGCCCTTCCGCCACACTCGCGCCTCGGCTCGAAGGACCTTCCCTGTTGAGAGCAGGGAGCGAGCCCCTGGAACCCCAGTGCCTGAAAATGTCACCCCCGCAGCAAAGTGTCACCCCCGCCCTGTGAAGGGCCTTTCTGGAAAAAGGGAAGAGGGGGCGGGGGACCCGGGCGGGGGGCCCGGAAGGACTGCGGTGTTGGCCCGCTGTCGCATGGGTCTGCAATCAACCCAGTCAGCAGGGTGGCCCACGTTGGCAGGCGGCCGGCTGGCCACCACTTCTCAAACAGGTCTCCGTCTTTTTGCCCGCCCCAGAATCAGTGTTCCTCGTGTCCAAAACCTCTCGGGGCCTGCAAACATCAGACAACAAGCACAATATCTTCCTGCCTCTGTAGTCCCGACCTTCGTCTCAGCAAAGCCAAAACGTTCAGCGCATCACTTGCTTCAGTGAACTCCCTGCGTCACCTGCTCTTCCAACATACCTGTCAGCGTGAGCTGAGTTAAGAACGAATCAGAGACAAATCTCATATGACCGTCGTGATTCTCAAGTTTCATCATCTCAGGCAACTGCTACCCACTTCTCACACAAGCAAGTAAGAATTGCTGGTTTCATCAGCTTGTCGTTTACGTGGACGCGCGAAACAGTCCGTGCTGTCCGTGCCTCTGCGACTTGCTCTACACCATGCGCGTGCAACCTGTAGTCCCAATGGCCCTCATCATTACACGCAACTGCTCTCCTTGCCTACATCACTTGCTTCAGTGAACTCCCTGCGTCACCTGCTCTTCCAACATACCTGTCAGCGTGAGCTGAGTTAATAACGAATCACAGACAGATCTCATATGACCGTCGTGATTCTCAAGTGTCATCATCTCAGGCAACTGCTATCGCTTCTCACAAAAGCAAGTACGAATTGCTGCTTCATTAGCTTGTCGTCTACATCAACGCACGCAACCAAAACTAGTGCAAGCAACTGGTTCGTGCTGTCCGTACTGCTGCGATTTGCTCAACACCATGCACGTGCAACCTGTAGTCCAAATGGCCCTCGTCTCAGAAACGCCAAGACGTTCTGCGTCTGCGCATCATTTGCTTCAGTCAACTGCCCGCGTCAACTGCTCTTCCAACATACCTGTCAGCGTGAGCTGAGTTAAGAACGAATCAGAGACAAATCTCATATGACCGTCGTGATTCTCAAGATTCATCATCTCAGGCAACTGCCATCCCTTCTTACAAAGGCAAGGAAGAATTGTTGGTCTCACCAGCTTGTCGTTTACGTGGACGCGCGAAACTGAACAGGGTACACACACAACTGGTCCGAGCTGTCCGTGACGCTGCGACTTGCTCTACACCATGCGCGTGCAACCTGTAGTCCCAATGGCCCTCATCATTACACGCAACTGCTCTCCGTCCCTACATCACTTGCTTCAGTGAACTCCCTGCGTCATCTGCTCTTCCAACATACCTGTCAGCGTGAGCTGAGTTAAGAACCAATCAGAGACAGATCTCATATGACCGTCGTGATTCTCAAGTTTCATCATCTCAGGCAACTGCTACCCACTTCTCACAAAGGCAAGGAAGAATTGTTGCGTTCACCAGCTTGTCGTTTACGCGGACGCGCGAAACCGAACAGGGTACACCCAACTGGTCCGTGCTGCCCGTACCGCTGCGACTTGCTGTACACCATGTGCGTGCAACCCTTAGTCCCAATGGCCCTCAGCAGTACACGCAACTGCTCTCATTCGGAACATCACTTGCTTCAGTGAACTCCCTGCGTCACCTGCTCTTCCAACATACCTGTCAGCGTGAGCTCATATGACCGTCGTGATTCTCAGGTTTCATCATCATCAGCTTGTCGTTTACGTGGACGCACGAAACCGAACAGGGTAACTGGTCCGTGCTGTCTGTACCGCTGCGACTTGCTCTACACCATGCGCGTGCAACCTGTAGTCCCAATGGCCCTCATCAGTACACGCAACTGCCCTCCTTCCGTACATCACTTGCTTCAGTGAACTCGCCGCGTCACCTGCTCTTCCAACATACCTGTCAGCGTGAGCTGAGTTAAGAACGAATCAGAGACAAATCTCATATGACCGTCGTGATTCTCAGGTTTCATCATCTCAGGCAACTGCTACCCACTTCTCACACAGGAAGAATTGCTGGTTTCATCAGCTTGTCGTTTACGTGGACGCACGAAACCGAACAAGGGTAACTGGTCCGTGCTGTCCGTGCCGCTGCGACTTGCTCTACACCATGCGCGTGCAACCTGTAGTCCCAATGGACCTCATCATCACACGCAACTGCCCTCCTTCCGTACATCACTTGCTTCAGTGAACTCGCCGCGTCACCTGCTCTTCCAACATACCTGTCAGCGTGAGCTGAGTTAAGAACGAATCAGAGACAAATCTCATATGACCGTCGTGATTCTCAGGTTTCATCATCTCAGGCAACAACTGCTACCCACTTCTCACACAAGCAAGTAAGAATTGCTGGTTTCATCAGCCTGTCGTTTACGTGGACGCGCGAAACTGAACAGGGTACACACAACTGGTCCGTGCTGTCCGTACTGCTGCGACTTGCTCTACACCATGCGCGTGCAACCTGTAGTCCCAATGGCCCTCATCATCACACGCAACTGCCCTCCTTCCGTACATCACTTGCTTCAGTGAACTCCCTGCGTCACCTGCTCTTCCAACATACCTGTCAGCGTGAGCTGAGTTAAGAACGAATCAGAGACAAATCTCATATGACCGTCGTGATTCTCAAGTTTCATCATCTCAGGCAACTGCTACCCACTTCTCACACAAGCAAGAATTGCTGGTTTCATCAGCTTGTCGTTTAAGTGGACGCGCGAAACCAAACAGGGTACACACAACTGGTCCGTGCTGTCCGTGCCGCTGCGACTTGCTCTACACCATGCGCGTGCAACCTGTAGTCCCAATGGCCCTCATCATCACACGCAACTGCCCTCCTTCCATACATCACTTGCTTCAGTGAACTCCCCGCGTCACCTGCTCTTCCAACATACCTGTCAGCGTGAGCTGAGTTAAGAACGAATCAGAGACAAATCTCATATGACCGTCGTGATTCTCAGGTTTCATCATCTCAGGCAACTGCTACCCACTTCTCACACAGGAAGAATTGCTGGTTTCATCAGCTTGTCGTTTACGTGGACGCACGAAACCGAACAGGGTAACTGGTCCGTGCTGTCTGTACCGCTGCGACTTGCTCTACACCATGCGCGTGCAACCTGTAGTCCCAATGGCCCTCATCAGTACACGCAACTGCCCTCCTTCCGTACATGACTTGCTTCACTGAACTCGCCGCGTCACCTGCTCTTCCAACATACCTGTCAGCGTGAGCTGAGTTAAGAACGAATCAGAGACAAATCTCATATGACCGTCGTGATTCTCAGGTTTCATCATCTCAGGCAACTGCTACCCACTTCTCACACAGGAAGAATTGCTGGTTTCATCAGCTTGTCGTTTACGTGGACGCACGAAACCGAACAGGGTAACTGGTCCGTGCTGTCTGTACCGCTGCGACTTGCTCTACACCATGCGCGTGCAACCTGTAGTCCCAATGGCCCTCATCATCACACGCACCTGCCCTCCTTCCATACATCACTTGCTTCAGTGAACTCCCCGCGTCACCTGCTCTTCCAACATACCTGTCAGCGTGAGCTGAGTTCAGAACGAATCAGAGACAAATCTCATATGACTGTCGTGATTCTCAAGTTTCATCATCTCAGGCAACTTCCACTTCTCGCAGAACGTCGCAAATATTTCCTTTTTAAGACCATTAACACCACCTGATCAGAAAAGAATGTTGCCCCTGCTTGAGTGGGGATCGCTTTTGGAGGTATGCATGGTATGCCACTCTTTCCCTCAGAAGGTTGATCCCGTCCTACATTCCTGTCGCTAGGGTGTTCATAGGGCCTTAACAAAGCATTTTGGAGTCCTGGCTTATTGTTTCCTGATAAAACCATCCAAAGGCAGGCCTTCTTCCTGTTGAAGGACACACGCCAAAGGAATCGAATGGCAACCCTTCGAACCAGCTAGTGGATTGCGCTCGGTTGGTCACGCAAATTTTGTGCAGCCGGCTGTGCTACCCCAAAAAGAGAAGATTGCAAGCCAACTAGGCCTCTTTTCAGGGATTCCTCTTTTTGTGTAACGAAGCGAGGGTTCAAATCGCCACACCTCCAATTCAACCTCCATCTAGGGTCAAAAAAGGGTACATTGGGGCCAGCTAAAACTCACCTTTGCCAGTCTCATCCGGGGATGCAGCCTTTAAGGAACACGCACTATCGAAGGGCAAGCTGAAACTAAGCCGCAGCAAGCCCACACTCCCTCAATTTCCCGGTGTTCACGCGTTCCGCCTGGCCAGTGCTTCCTCAGGATACTCTTGGTGTGGTCGTAGGTGGTGACCTGAAGCAAAAGACAAGGCAACCCATTTCCCCTCTAAACATACCCCAGGCAAAAGGAAACTCACGTCAAATGAGCCCAGAAGGTGATGTATGTGATCTTGAGATCCGCCAACAGGGCAACTTGGGGAACCCTGAAGGAAGGAAACCACAGAGCTCGGTTTGTTTGGCGGCAATCTGTGGGTGGAAAGCATATGTAGAGCAAGGATAAGACTGCGTGCACCGATGCACCGTGGTCTTCTTCGCAGGTGTCCATGTCAGAAAAGAAAACTCGGGACGATGTGAAGGGAGGGCTGAGAGCTAAACAAATGTGGCCACTGCGGCTACGGCAGCGGGTCAAGTAGCCACAGGGAAAGAATGGCCATTCCTTGACAGGTGACTTTTGAAAGGGAAGTTCTCTCAAGAAAAGAAAACGAGGCAAGCCTGGAGGTTGGTTGTTTGGCATTCCATTAAGCGGTCTTTTGCCCATGGCACATATGGAAGCCTCTGTCAGGTTCCTGCTGGCGTCCGCAAAAAAGCAACTCGGAAAGGGCAACTCCCTGTTGAGTTAACCTGCCACTTCGATCATCTTTGAACACCTGTGAGGAAGGTTAGTGAGTTTGCTGATCGGAGCCCAGGATTATCCAGACTTCCAGTGGCCATGGGAAAACAGGCACTCCTCTGTGTTTGCTCAAGGGAAATCATTCAAACAAGGCATCGCTGGGTGTCTGGGAGTAATCAACCACTGATGAATACAAAAGGGGCCCGGTTCAAACTTTTGGGCGGAGAATCCCCTCTTCCTCCCGCTTGATTCCAAAACCCCGCGACTGGCTCGTCCATCGCCCGCCAAAAGCGCCCCGTCGGACGCCACGAGCGCGTGCCTCCCCGATGGCGATGGCGGCGCCCCGCGGCGCTGACGCGCTCACGCCGCGGATCAGCAGGCCTCGGCTCGACGAGGCTGTGCGAAACATGGAACCCAAAAAGGGAGGGGCCAAGGCTGTTCTCCGAAATGCCTTGGGAATTTGAAGGGTGTTTGGCATCCGTCCGGGTTTCCAAAAAAGGAGACAGCTCTAGACTTGTTGGGTTGTTCTGGGTTCCACCAACATGGTTTGGCGCACAAGAACGAACTTCCTTTTCCCGGTGGTCCAAAATCTGTGCAGGCCATGACCTGTTGACAATCCCCCTTATCTGTTTTCATCGAAAATACCCAAACAATGCAAGGGAGGATGGCCGGTCCAGCACCAAACACGCATCAAGGCTTGGGTTCGGAACATCCCCAAACAACAGCAACTGCGCTGGGAGAAGGGGGGCCGTAACACCTACCAAAGGCCAGGCCCCAGTTCAGATAAAATCCCCTCAACCGACCAATTCACATAATATTTTTTCATCATTTCATAACAGAACCTCAACTCAAGATTTGATACATAAATTTTGTAAATATTTTTCTAAATTCCCAAAATATATTTTCCCAAAATCCCAAATTCCCAAAATATATTTTCCCAAAATCCCAAATCCCAAAATCCCCATAATTTCAAAACATAAATCTTACAATGTTTTTTATTGTAAGGTTTATGGTCACCCCTCTTTCAGGGCTTTTCTGGGTAAAGCGTCGTGTCCCGTCCGGCTTCGTGAACGAGCGCTACCTCTTCGAATGGTGCGCCTTGCCATACTGACTGACTGTCAAAACTGTTTTTGCCGAGAAGGTGTGTCATTTTGCTTTGACCAGTGTGTGCTCTGTAGCAATTCGTGAACTCAAGTTCAACCCTGCTCATTTGCCATTTTGCCTTGGCAATGTTCCTCGTGCGCATGGAGACGGGTTTCATGCCTGTTGCCTTCCAAGCTGGTGGCGTGCTTCGCCCATCCAGCATTCAGGGAGAACCATACACCCCGTTAGAGGAACAGCTTTCCACCCTGACTGTTGACCAAGTCAAAGCGGTCTATCATGCTATGGGTCTGAAGTTGGTCAAAGGAAGCGAGAAGGCTAGTTTTGTCCAGTTTGCCATCAATCATTGGCAAGAGGCAACTACACGCGGTCTCACCATTGAGCGCAACTATGAGCGCATCGCCACTGGAGTTAAGAAGCTGGTGATGTTCAAGCGAGATGACACATATTTCATCCCCATCTTGTTGCGCGCCGGTCAGGTCTTCTACCCCAGCTTCTTCAACAACTTGAGGGACAATGTGCAACTCACAATGGAGATGCTGAACACCTTGACAGTGAAGGAGTTGCTGAACCTTCACCGTGAGTTGGACAACGGCGGGATTTACGACACGAGCGACGGGAAGAAGTTGATTGTGGAGCGCCTCTTGTCCTTCTGGAACTTTAACTACGAGAGGTTCAACGCGAACAGGGGCAACATCGCCGCCGAGCCCGTTGAGATGCTCACCGACGACGAGGATGAGAACCAGAGCGACAGTGGTGACGACTTCACCTTCAGCATTGAGGATTACCTCGGCCTTGCTGATGAGGAAGTCTCCCAGCAGATGCTGTTTGACTTGATCTCTCCGGCCGACTTCTACGACAATCCTCGTCGTGTCGAAGTCCGTGCCTTGAATGAGGACAAAGTCCTGATGACCGTTTTTGTGGATGGTGAGTGCACCACGGTGGCAGAGGTTAAAAGGAGCATTGAGGACAAAATCTCCATCCTCAGCAAGGAAGAGAACCGCCTCACCGCTGACGACTTCATCCTGTCCAACGGCATTGAGTTGATGGCAGACTGCCACTATGTCCCCATCTACCAGACACGGGTCTATATTCTTCTGCGCTTCCGTGGAGGGGGCAAGGGCGTGAAACAGTTTTCCAAGAGGGAGAAAGTCAAGAGGACGCTCGCGCTCGCCAAGGACAGCTACAATGCATTGGGGTCTGTGAAGTTTGACACCGCCTTCCTCACCCGCATTGAGGCGCTCATTCAGGAGATGATGAACAACGAGAGCGAGGACTACATCAGCAAGAAGCTTTCGGAGTTGACTACTGAGCAGTTGATGTCTATCAAGTCGGGCACCGAAGACTTCAAGATTACCGATGCCACACTTCGCCGCTTGGCACCGTTGGTGGTTCATGACATCGCCCACCTCATCAAGCTCATCCAGGAACTGGAGGCAGCGAAGAAGACGGCCGAGACTTGCTTTGTTCATGTGTTCTCCCAAGAGTTCTACGAGGGGAAATGTGGAGCAACTGCATTCTGGCACAAGTATGAGCGAGCGTTGGGCAAGGTAGAGGGTGCATCTTCCTCTGCTGTGGTCTCCGGAATGGAGGCAATGAAGCTCTGATAGAACTCCAGAAATTCGTCATTTGACGCATTGTGTTTTGTCATTTGACGCATTGTGTTTTGTCATTTGACGCATTGTGTTTTGTCATTTGACGCATTGTGTTTTGTCATTTGACGCATTGTGTTTTGTCATTTGACGCATTGTGTTTTGTCATTTGACGAATTTCTCCACCTTTTTGGTATGGAATAATCCCCCTGTCGGTGCGTGATGCAGTTGCACTGAATGAGGGGTGTGAGAAACCGCTTTGTGCTGGGCGAAGGTGGGAAAAAAGGATTTCTGCTGTAGTGGTGAGGTGAGGTGAGGTTGAAGACTGCTAGTTTCCCCTCGTCCCCTATTTTGGTAGTTCCCGCATCTTTGTGCCCGCAGGTATCTTCTTCGTCATCTTCGCCTACAAGGCTTTCCTCTAGTAGGTATGGACGGGAGGAGTTGGGAGGGTTTTTTTCTTATATGTATATATTATATAAGGGGGAAACTCTCGCCAATTTTTTGTTGCCCTGTTTGGCGATTGGCAAGAGTTTCTGAATATATCTATATATAATTTGGTGTTTTATTTATTTTATAAACTATGGATTATCCCCTTAAAAATCATCATTTTCAAAATTTTAAATTTCATAAATTTTACTGTGTTGTCGTTGGATGAACCTAGAAATTTCAAGTTTGAACTCCAACCCCAACTCAAATTCCTTAATCTGTCAAACTCGTCAAAATCTCACAAATCAATTCAGCAGGTATTTTGTATAAATCTTCCTGCTTATGTATTACATAATTATCTCCCCATTCTGCTTTAGTTTTTGATGGCAGTCGTTGCGCAGTTTCAATATGTTTATTATTCCTTATTTTTCCACAATCTCTATTACATAAATCTCTAGGTGTCCAATTCGTAATGTTATTCCAAAGTCTAGTGCGTTTTCTGTAATTAAATCCATATTTGCAATAATCAACATCTTTAAAATCAAACTCATTCATAAACTCCTGATTTTTTAATAATCCAGTTTGAGGATTTTCGATTACAAAATATTTAGGATTAAAATATTTGATAATCTCAATAGTTTTTAAAACTATACTATTAGCATATTCAATATTCCTAATTCCCTTAGTTTTTGCTACACTATATTCAGTGCACGGGGGACTGCTCCAAATAAAATCAAAATGGTTTCTGTCAAATTGTTTATAATCCCATTCCAAAATATCACAATTAATATCAGCATTTTTCAAGTCTAATGAGATGACATTATAACCGAGTGACTTTGCTATGGTTCCTACACTTCCAGTTCCACTAAATAATTCTAATAAATTCATATTGTTTATTAGAATGATTTAGATAATGTTTTAGAAATATACATATTTATCATCTTCCTTAATAATCTTATAGTATTCTAATGTTTGTTCTTTTGGACTTTTGATTTGTCCCTTATTTAACATATCACAATATTTTTTACGCTTCGTGTCATAATCACCGCTGGGTCTGCCTATCCCTTTCTTTTCAAAGATTTTGTCAATCTTTTCCTTCTCTTCATTGTTATCTTTTGGTTCGTTTGCCTTTGCATCAAGTTTCTGGTCAATAGTTTTTATCATCTCGTACAACAGTTTAACATTTTTACTAACTGTCATTATTTTCTTTGATAGTTCAGAAATAGAATCATTCTCAACTTCAGACATTTCTATATATATTTATTTATATAATTATTTATTTAAATATTTAATTATTTATAAAATTGATTTAATGTAAAATCTACTCTTTAAGTACTAAATTTTCATCATTTGTTTAATAGTTTCCTGTGCTTCGTTATCACCATTATCGGATGGTGACGCATGCCTTCCCCATTTAAAAGTTATATTATGGACATCAGTTTCTAAGTTGATACTGTCTTTAGTTTTATCAATATTCATTTTCTTATCGTTTTTACTCAATTTGAAATTTGTCGGAATACACGAACATTTACAATTTCCTTTCTTTTGAATTTCTAATTCGTTCTTCATTGCTAACATCTTTCTACACATAGGACACTCAAACTCAATAACTGATGTTTCTTTAACAATTTCTTCTTCTTTGTCTTCATCTGTTGAAGAAACTGTAGTATCTGTTTTATTCTTTTTGTTTTTCCTTTTTCCCATTTATATTAATATTTACATTTTTATTTTTGATATATTGTATTCCTAATTTTATTAATTCTAATGTATAAAAGCATACTTTCTTACATCTGTTGTCAGTTATTATCACTTGTTCTATATTCTCTACTTCATCTATTATATCAATATAATCTGAATAACTTCTATCCATATTAAATAATAAGATGAAATAATCATTAAAAATAATTATTTGATCTTATTATTTTCATGCATAATAGAATATTGGTGGGGCACAGCACTTGGGTTTTCATTGCACACGCGAGCAAGACACAAAACTAATTATCTTCAATGCTTATTGATTGAAGCAATGGAAACCTGTTCCGTTTTTATGATATTCACTACCAGCATATCATAAAAAAGATGTTCCATTCAATAATAATTACAAGTTAATTTTTAAATATAATTTTATATATATCTTTAATATCAATTATGACAAACGTTCCAATAATAAAACCAATAAATATAACTGATTACGATTTCAAACAATCTAAATATGAACATGTGCCAAAACTACCTTTTCGCTCAATTGTTGTTGCTTCATCAA